CCTTCGTCTGTTTTTTATCCCCCTAATTGCTTCAGGACACATTTTGTGTCTGTATAGGAGGCGTAGCTCACTGCAATGGATTTCCTGGAGTCATCGGTGCTGCTTGCAGTTGCAAAACCTAATCACAGAAGTACTGCTAAAGCAACTGGTCAACAGAAGATGTGAGTCATGTTGACCTCAGTACGAGATGGCTGTGAATAACAGCTTGTGCTGGAAGCAAACAAAAATTGCTAGAGGGGGGCCATGCAGCTCTGCGTGGCCATCATGACTGCTGACTCCTGCGGACACGTACCTGCCTGACTCGTGCTCTGAGACACCCTGGCTGGGAAGTGCAGTACCGGAGCCATGGGCAGGTAGATAGCAGGAGGAGTATGAAGCAGTGGCAGAGAGATTTGTGCAAAACAATACAAATACAAACTGAGGCACAGGAAGTTCCATCTGAACATGAGGAAGAACTTCTTCACTTTGAGGGTGACGGAGCCCTGGAACAGGCTGCGCAGGGAGGTTGTGGAGTCTCCTTCTATGGAGATACTCAAGACCCGCCTGGACAAGGTCCTGTGCAGCCTGCTGTAGGTGACCCTGCTTTGGCAGGGGGGTTGGACTAGATGACCCCCAGAGGTCCCTTCCAACCCCGAACATTCTGTGATTCTGTGGAAAAAACAGACAAGAAGCCAGGCTTCATTTACAAGCGTCTATTCCAAGTTGTGCTGCTCTATCTGTACTTGCAAAGGAATCGCTTAAAAGCTTTTGTTCACAGAATGTTTATGCAGAAGATAGTATGTGGCATTGAGTTCTTCTCCAAGTGTATACAACACAATTAACTATCACTCTATCAGTATCACCTCTTAAATTAATTTTGCTGGTTTTCATGATTGCAACACTGAATGATTTGTTTCCCCCTTACTCTTCGCTAATTGCATAACTCCTCATTGCTGAATTCATTTGTCTTCGTTGTCTGTGTGTTTTCCCTGTTTCTTTCGTGCATATGCTGTAACTTTCTGGCCCTCAAACAAGAACGTAAATACTTAGTCTGAAGAAATAACTGGTGCTGAAAGTCTGCCCATAAGCATCGTGGTCTTCTCTTTCCCCTAACATTTCTCTTCCATCCCAGTGAAGCGTGTGGATTTCTTGGTAGCTGAGCAGTATTTGGGGCAGAAATGTTACAATTAGCCCTTTTAAAGTAAGTTTACACAAATTTACCCCCCCCCCCCCCCCCCCCCACACACACAGATATAAGGAAATATCAATTCCAGTTGAGTAGCGTATCGTATGTTTAATGTAGTAAGAAGATGGTTTGTGAGTTGCACGAGGGAGTCTTTTCTGTTTCCTCAAAAGGGTGATGAAGATAAAAATGCTCTGGAAAGAGTAATTTTATAAAGTTAATTTGGACAAGGTGTGAATGACCTGGAACTTCATGTGAAACTTAATCTGTATGCAATTATAAAAAAAAAAAACAAAACACCAAACTGGATAAGGTCAGCCAGATAAATTACACAATGCTGACCTTATTTTTAAAATTACTTTGCTTAAGGAGATGACAGATCATTTTAGTCTTTTATGCAATAACCAAAATTCAGCTTTTGTGTCAACAATAGGAATGCTAAGCTTTTATTTTCCCAGAGGTACTTAAAAAAAAGTTTTACATACTTACAAAAATAGGATGAGATCAAGTTATAGCAGTCTAAGCCAGGATTTTGTCATGGTTTTATTTTTGCCTCCAGACTTTAAATACTTCTAATAAAGGTTGTATTTTAAAGCATGAACTAAAACCCTAGAGTTCACATTGCTCTGTTTGGAGCTGGGAGAGGCTTGTACACTCCCATATGGTGTTTTTTTGTTGTTTTTTTTTTTAAGTATGGGAAACACATAACTTTTTTTGTTGAAAATTGGTTTTATAAGGAAGAAGAAATAAAAGGATCATTCGTCAAGCAGCACAACATTAGCTTCCATTGTATGCACGTTTTAGGAAAAATAGTCTTAGTACACTCTTTAGGGCTTGTAGAAAACTTTGCTTATGTTACGGAATGATTAAAAATTGCTCCGTATTTGTTTCTGAATAGTTTGTCTTTTTTGGTAATTCCTTTCTCTTTCAGACTCCCAGACTGACATAAATTTATTACTTGAATGAGTAATGGAATAACATTCTTTGTAGGGGAAGTGGTGTAGTTCTGCCTTCTGAATAAGTAGCATTAATGCCTATTATAAATAGTTAAAAAGTGGTAGTTTTGCACTTTAAGCACTGTTGTTGTTAAAACAAGAATAAAAATATAATATTAAAAAGACTTATTTCACTGTGTTGTACGTGCCAAAGAATAGGCAAAATACAATTCTCTCTCCTGGCTTAATACACCTCTTCTTAGCAAGCCTTCAGTGAAATGTGATTTTTCTGTTTTAGCTGGGTAGTATCTAAGCTACATTTATTTTTACCATACCATTTAAATTCATAAATTGATGAAACTTCAAACTCACCTGCTCTCTAAGGATTTAGAAAATACAAAGGTAACTTTCACATTTTTCCAAATTGCTTATTCCTTTGTACTGATGTTTTTTCTTAAGGTACAGAAGAGAAAATTGTAGTTTTTTTCTTTTCTGGTGTCAGTGGCTCTTGAAAAGGTGGACCCGTATGGATTCCTGTTCTCTCCCGCTCTCTTGTTTTTTGTTTTTTTTTTTTCTTTTTAAACTATCGCATCACGAGGCAGTGAGTGGAAAGACCAGGCCTACCACACAACGAGATACAACGTCACTTTAGTGCTTTATATACAGAAATGACTCCATGTTAGTTTTGCTTTGTCATCACTGTTCGGGGCACTGGTGTGTGATTAAGCTGCTTCCGCAGGCTGCTGGCCCTTTGGGCCCCTCCTCTTTGTCCTAGCTGGGGACTGCTGCCCAAGGAAATAACCATGCAACACACAGATCAGAAGCAAGAGGGATGGGGATGAGGACAGGACATTCTCGCCACAGCCAGGTAGTTGTAGCTGCATAGGAACAGAGAGAGCACTGATTGATTGGCAACTCTGCTGTCAGAGCGGGGAAGGAACGTGTGCTGTATTCCTGGTATGAACTCAAGGCTGAAAAGATTCTAGAAGCAGTGGTGCAGAATCAAGTGTGTGTGTTTTGTTTTTTTTTAATGTTCCCTTCCTCCTTTTTCATTGCACAAATAGTGAGATGGAATTAATTAAAAGTAGCTACATCACATGAAGACAGTTTCTCAGAGAAAGGAAGGCTCAGGTGACATTTTGGAGAATTCTGGTCTCCAGAGGAGCGGCATAAAGATTGAGAGGTGAGCTAGCAGTTCTGGAGCCATCTCTGGGATGGCTGCTCTGAGACCTCCTGCCTTCTTCAGATCACCATTTGGGAAGCATTCCAGGAAAGAAAACCTTTCTTCTTTTTCTTTTTTTTTTAAATGAATGGAGTCCCACCTGTATATCAGCCTTCTTGTGTCAAGGCTGATGTGAATGACAGATGTTTGTAAACTTAGCTGTGAAGTAAGACCTCATTATATAGACTTTGCACTTGGTTTTCTTACATAAGCAAATGAAAATCATATGGATAAGCCTACAGAAATTATTATAGGTGCCTACCATCCTGTGATCTGAAAATGAGGAGGAGTAGTATTACTATTTATTAGGACAGTGGCCAACTAAGTGGTGGTGAGCAGAGGACTGGATTTACTTGGAGCAGACACTTGGGTGTGACAAACGCAAAAACCAATGCTATGTTTGTACACTTTCTGCAAAAGTCTAATCAACTGGAATGAGAAAACCTGCTAGTAAATGACATGAAACTTGGTATTAAAGAAATATGTAGAATAATAATCCACAGGAATGGGAGTGAAGCACATGCAGATTAGAAAAGGAAAAAAAGCAGGTGGTAGGGAGGCATTCAATATTTGGAACAATCTACTGGAAAATAAAATAACCTTAGACTTTTTTTGAAAGAAATCACTTTGAAGAAAAATTGAAGAGATTTTTTTTATGCATACATATTAAAAGCCTGTGGTGGTCCTTAGGCTCATAATTGAGAATGGATGGAGACTTCTCATCCTACAAGTGAGAAATATTGAGTATTGTGAAGACTGACAAAATTGGTTTTGCCGGAGATTAGCTTCCCAGGCACAGCCTGGAAATCACATACTGCTAATAATGGTAACAAGATAGTCAATAGATTTCTTTACCAGTCTCTACATTAACAAAGCACAGACTTGGTGAGCCATTGATGATGTTTTAGGAGAGCTGCTTGAAGAAAGTGATTATATTTTTCACATGTGTAACTCATGGATTACCTGCTTAAAAAGGGAGAGAAGGGGGCACTGGAAATTACATAAAATGCTGCTTATCTCCAGCCACCTTTAATTTTGTGCATTTTATGTTAAAACTTACTTTCATTAAATAGTAATGACAAGTTCAATGGGTGGATTGATTCAAGTTGATGGGCAGTCAGGTGCGTAAAAATGTATATGTAATCTAGTTTCATAACTGCAGAAGTGCAGTATCTTTGTTTTGCTAATAAATTTCTAGGGATTCGAAGAGCTTGGAAGTTTTATGTATGGGACAAATCACTGATTTAAAAAGAAATGTCAAAATGAGGGACTAAATCAGAACTTAAAAGAAATGGGGGGGAAAGTGCTAGTCGGTAGAGCTAGATGGACATGTCTTAGGGGTTGGATAGTGTTAACAATTCTTTTTTTGATCTTAAAAATAGACCTAGCAAAAGGATATTGAGGTGAACTAGAAAAGATTTACGTAAGCATACAGATATTTACATCCACAAATACATTTACAGTGAAGTGTCTGTAATAGGGGGCTTGACTGATGGAACTTTCGTTATCACTGAAGGCGGTAAAAATTCTTGCCTTGTCTTCAGAAACTTAATTTCATTTAAGTCTTATAACTGGAGATGGTAAAAGCATGAATTACTGGTGATGTCATGTGTTTATGTATCTGAAAAGTGCATTCAGATGCCTAACGTGATCTTTCTTTCCCCCCCTCCCCCTGTTCTAGGAATTAGCTCTCCGCAGCCAGCTTCCCACAATGGAACAAGACGGTGGATCTCAAAATCCCGTGTCATCTCCTGGAATGTCTCAGGAACTCAGAACAATGACAACAAATAGTTCTGATCCCTTTCTTAACAGGTTAGTAGAAGTAGCTACTAGAGGAGAAAAAAAATAATTTAAAATTCTGTTTGGTACATGTAATAGCTTATTTTGAACATCTGTCTGTGCCAAAAGCCACAGCTGTAAATGAATCTTTCCTTATATGGCAAGTCTAGTAAAAGTTGAGGATTAAAAGCTGTCTCCTGTGGGAGGAAGTAGTCTGTTCAGACTTGTAGGAAGGTTTTTTATTCAAAGTCATAACATGTTTGCCTCTGCATTAATCTGTTGACTAACAGTCATTTCAAATTACTGACTCAGAAGAATTTGTGAATAGGTTGCTATGAGATCAAATGAACTGTGAGGCACGTTTAGGACTACACCTTGAGGTTCGTTTTAATGTTTCTTCATTCACCCCTCCTCTCCAGGCATTTAATTTAGCAATATTTTTACTCTGTTAATGTTACGTCTGCAAATAGAGTGGCATGTTTTATTTTAAATGCCGTATTATTTTGATGTTGGTCTTTAATGCAAGATTTAGAATTTCACAGTATAGACTAGTCTTTTTATATAATTTTTTCCTTAATCCCTCAGAGTTGGAGTGTTTGTTTTGTTGGAAATACTGTTCTAATTACAGCTAAAAAATGCTTCATGCTAACCATTACAACTTTGGAGAAAGTGCTGCAGCTTAAGATAAGTCGTGTCTGTATTTTTTGCTTAGCATGCTGGAAAGAAAAGATGAAAATGGTAAACCAGTCAAATCTCTAAGCCGCATAAACTCTTAATTAATGGAGTAAAAATCTACTAACATATCAGCAGTATCAGGTAGCTTATCTTAAGCTGGAATAGTTAATTTTGTAGTTCTTCGTTGGACTATATTTTTTCAGCATTCTGAACTGATACCAGCTCGGTATCCCATACCGTAAAAGAGAAAAATTATATATTCTGTGAGAGTTCATCACTTCTTTTCTGCGTTACCTTGAAATGTTAGCCTAATTTTAGGACGCTTAATGTAAGCGCTCATGAAGTATAACAACTTGCTCGTCCTTCTCGTTAATGGTATGTTGTTATACTCATGGAAAACCCCATAAAATTCATCTTGATTCTTTCAATGTAAGTCTTAACTTCCATGGGTTTTGCCACCAATACAGTTTCAAAACTGCTCGTAAGGTAAGAAGTGCACATCACATTAGAACTGGCACGATTTTGGAGTAGGGCAAGCTTAGCACCTGCTGTAATTTTAGATACTGAAAACTGTTCAAATCTTTGTAAACCTTTGCTGCAATTATAAATCCCTTCCTGTATTCTTTTAAATAATTTAATGTTGCTAATATCTCATACTTAGGTTCTTTATCCCTAACTCTTCCAATTACTGATACTCTGTCAGCTTAGCTGAAGTTTGTTTCATTTTCTGCCGTTTTCAGGAGACATCTTCATCATCTCGTATACTCTATCCTCACTCTAATTCTCAAAATTAGTAAAGTTGAGCGAGTTGGTTCAAGAACATACCCTCTGTCTTGCCAGTGGAATCTGTTGTCATTCATATAGTTTAGGTTATGTAAATAACATCTGTTGCCCTTAAGCTTTTTCTCCTACTGCATGAGGTATTGTCTGTGTTAGTGTTGTGTGTACTGTTGTGAGAGCAGGAGAGAAGTTTCTGTCTCAGGGTACGCAGTGCTTTGTATATATTGGAGAAAACAAAGTAAAGAAAAAAAATAAAAAAGCCTTGCAAGTGGAGAAGAAAGTAGTGGTGTTTTATTCTTAAATTCCCTAAGGAAGTAAGCAGTATTTCCAAGTTTTGGGTGAGCTCTTCAAGAAGACTTATCTCCTATGCAGACAAATCTGATTAGAAAACTTCATTTTTTAATTTTTTTTTTTTGTTAGAGGGAGGGATTGTCCTCCATGGAATTCGTCCTGGGATTCGGTGTGAGCCTTAACTGTGCGGGCCCTGTCCCAAGGAATAAAAAGGGCAAGAAATCTTAAAACTGACCTGCTGTCCTGTGAGAAGCCTGTGTAGATAGATGGCCTTGATGTGTTACCCTAACATACTAGCTGGAATTTCTGGAAGGCTGTTGCCATCATACATTGAGCCCAGGTATATTTTGAAATGTGTTCTTGAATGATATCAAATCCCCAAATTTCCAAAACCTGTTTTCTGACCCGAAAGAAATACATCTTCAGGTTTCCAATGGCCATGGCAGTAGACTAATGCAGTTTATCCATTGTGAGTCTACACACATGAAACATAAAATGATGAACCTTTACCTTTAATTAGAAACAGGAAAAAAAGCTAGAAAGGGCAATTTTGTTTTGTTTGTAATTTTTTGGCAGGTTGATAATTAGCAAGGACTATTTACCCTAAAGTGCAAAATGATACTACTTGCCTAGTTGCAAATATGTTTCACTGGGCTTTTTTTGGTAGCACTTACCCTATGCAAAATACTGAAAACCCATACCTGGCTTCAGTTCAGAATATCTTAATTTGCATTTTGGTCTGAGCATTGTCCCCTTCTTGGTAATTTTATGTACATCACTGCACTTAATTCTGGCACGAGGGTAAGGGAAAGGAATTTTTAAAAAGGACATTTGTGGATATGCGTTGCTATCTCTGAATTAGATACAGCAGTCCAATAGTTGCGCTCTAATGATCTCCTTGATGTCCTGTATGTTAAAGTTCAGACTTAGAGAAGTGCTACTTTATGTATACCCTACAAAGATACAAAGTTCCTGGTGAGATGGGCCTCCCAACTTTAGGTACCAAAGTTTAGGTAGTTGAAATATTCCACTGCCTATGTAATCAGAACATCCAAAAAATCTCAGAGAATAATTGCTACATTGAGCAATTTGAGAAAATGTGCAGCAGTGTTTTCATTTATGTAGTCAATCTTCTGCCTGCTGTCTTCAGTACTTACTGTCACTGCGGTATATTTTATTTTTTGAATGGGACATCCAGCAATGCAGACTTTATTAGACTATTTCACCTTTTGGTTTGCCACTCTGTTTATATATTTTTGTCCATAAGATTTATATTGGTACTGACGGTAATTCTCTGTTGAACTGCTAAATTGGGATTTCTTCTTCTGTATACACATATTTTAACAAGTATTAGTTGAAGAAGCATCCACTCTATTTTGGGTAATGCAGTTTAGTTGCATGCAGTAATGTTGGGTCGTGTGACTACTAGATGAAGAAATTCTTGTTGAAGAAAGAGGAAATGTGTATTAAGGAGTGATTTGAAGGGAAGGGCTGGACATTCCAAGCGTGAGAGCAGCAGCCAAAAAGCCTTCTCAGCTAGAGTGATTTAGTTCAGCGTAGTCTAAGTTCTGTTTTTAGTATTTTATCCCACAAAGTAAACCAGCATTTTTTTCATAGAAGTTTTAAATAGCTTAATTATTAGGATTGTTATCAAATGTGTGGTGATGCTATTTTTAAATTAGTCTAAAAAAAGAGAAATATTTATGATTTAACTATGAAGAAATGTTAGGTTTCTTTCTTGTACGGCAAAGATGTCTTCATGAAATCTAATATATAGATATATTCATGACTACTGGCATTCTGCTTGCATCTGATGTTGAATAGTTGTTCGACCATCATCTGTTTTGTTCTTCATACTTGACAAAAAGGCGTATGCTGTAAGTTTCATGAGCACATTATGAGAAGGATCAGTATGTCTTCAAATGCTAATTTGAATAGTAAGTCAAGTTGATCTTCATTTAGTATTCAAGCTGGAAAATCAGTAAGGATTCTCAGTGAATGCCGCCACAACCTGAAGAAATACAGGTTTTGAAAATATTTTGTGAAGCTTGGCTATTCAGAGGTGCAGGGGGAGGGCGGTAATGGTGTATTTCTACAGCTGTTTATGCAGGCCACAGTTCCTGCCAGAAAACCTATTCCTGCTTGGGCTCTTCTCCGCGGGTCACAGTTCCTGCCAGAAGCCTGCTCCTGCTTGGGCTCTCTATGGGCTGCAGCTTCCTTCAGGGCATGTCCTCGTGCTGTGGCGTGGGGTCCTCCACAGGCTGCAGGTAGAGGTCTGCTCCACCATGGTCCTCTGTGCGCTGCAGGGGGACAGCCTGCCTCACGATGGTCCGTTCCACAGGCTGCAGGGGAACCTATGCTCCAGCACCTGGAGCACCTCCTCCTCCTCCTTCACTGACCTTGGTGTCTGCAGGGCTGTTTCTCTCACATTTTCTCACTCCTCTCTCCCAGCTGCTGCAGGTTTTTTTTTTTACCCGTTCTTAAATACGTTATCACAAAGGTACCGTCGCTGTCACTGATGGGCTCAACTTTGGGCAGCAGTAGGACCATTTTGGAGCCAGCTGGAACCGGCTGTGTCTGACATGGGGTCATCTCCTGGTGTCTTCTCGATAGAGGCCATCCCTCAGCTCCCCTGCTATGAAAATCTTGCTATGTAAACTCAGTACTTTGGCCTGCCCGCCCCAGCCCCCATCCCAGATTTTCTGCTGCAGCTTTCCTGGTCTTGCTCCACTGGCAGTAGGATGGCAGTAAGAAAGAGAATGCATGGAAGGTCCCGTGCCATCGCTGTTTTGTTAACTGTTGTGTCAACAAGATCGTTCAGAACAGGGTTTGTTTGCAGGGTAGCTTCTGTGCCAGTATGCGACTTATACCGGGGCACGCTCTTGCCACAACGTGTGACTGAGCTGGTAGTAATGCAACAGTGGAAAGCAATGGAAGAATTGCTAAAGGAGTTCCGACTGTAGCTCCTGTTTGTAACAGTAGTGACCTAAAAATACGCTTCAGTGGCTGATTAAACATAGGGACATTAGTAGTTGGGATTATTTTTATTATCCTTATAGAAATATGAAAGGATATGCAATCATTAATATTATTTTTATAATCATTAGGGACTACCTGTGATATGCTGCTAATGGTTTTTAGCTGGGGGTGGGTGTGAAAAGTTTAAAACCATGCAGAACACAGGCAGTTTTTTAAAGCTGTGTTCTCATCAAGTTAAATTGAATCTAAATAATACGGTTTTAATTGGAAAAGGTCCGCATAAAATAAAACCCAGGTATCTCAGACAGACAAAGGCTTCAGTTTTTGATTAGAATAGAGCATTCCTCGTGACAGAATGTTTTCAAAGCCCTTGAATTGGTTCAAAATCAAGCATTCATTTTAATTCTTCAGTACTCTACGCTCATTTTTGTGTTTCTTTTCTTCTGTTACAGTGGAACATATCACTCCAGAGATGAAAGCACAGATAGCGGACTTAGCATGAGCAGTTATAGTGTGCCCAGAACGCCCGATGACTTCTTGAACAGCGTTGATGAGATGGATACAGGTCCGTTTTTGTGTACATCCTTAATGCGTGTCTTCTAAATATACTTGTGTCCATTTGCAATGAAAAGAAGCAATTCTGAGAAGCTGTGATACTTTTCACATTGTATTTCTACCTTCTTCTGTTTCTGTAATAGAAATATTGTAGTTAGATTTGTGAAAAACATACTTGTAATCAACTCTATTGGGAGGATGGGGGATCACTCATAAACAGTATCACTCCTGTTGTTATATGGAATCTGAGTGTCCATTTGCTTTTTAAAGTGATACTGTTTGTTGAGAGCTAAGAGTAGTACCTCATCCAGTGTTACTAATACTGCTCCAAAACAGTATTCGACTCAGTGTTGTCTTTTTCCTTTAAGTGTAAAAATTAAAATATGCTAAATGACATCAAAGATCTGTAGAGATTTGGATCAGTAGGTGGAAGGTCGAAACAAAGGCATGGTTTTTGTACATCTGCATGCAGTCAAGTAATCTTTGGGTTTTATGGTGGACTTCTATGAATCCAGTTGCTTGTATGATGCAAGAGACACAGGATTAACCTTTAACCGGTTGTCCTGATGAATTGTGGGTTTGGTACTTCAGTATCTTTAATATCCATCTTGCATTGTGTTACAACTAGGTGACAGTATCAGCCAAAGTACCATACCGTCCCATCAGAACCGTTTCCCAGACTACCTTGAAGCCATTCCAGGGACAAATGTGGACCTTGGGACACTGGAAGGAGATGGGATGAATATAGAAGGAGAAGAACTGATGCCAAGTCTGCAAGAGGCTTTGAGCTCTGACATCCTTAATGACATGGAATCTGTCTTGGCAGCCACCAAGCTAGATAAAGAGAGTTTTCTTACTTGGTTATAGGGGCCTCAGGGAGACTGAATTCTAAATCTGTGAAGGATCTAAGGAGAACTGTATCTGAAGTTCAGAACAAGCCAGTGTGGCACACTTTGGCTTGTGTTCAGAAAAAGTAAATGAACAAATATTCAACAAGATTCTTTCGTTTTGCTCTTCCTTGTCCATCGCTGCTGTTATATATTGCTGACTTTTTTCCACAGTTGACTCTGAAGAACCGCCATCTTCTTGATCTTTTTCTATTGCTGTTGCAACTACTGTTCAAGGGGGGTGGGGAGGGATGATGAGCCTATTTGGATGACGAATGCCATTCCTTTTGTCCTAGTGTGCACTTGCATATCATTTTATCTAAGTACTCAGTTTTGAGAGTTAATTTCTGCATGTCACTGCTTGTAGTTTGCTCAGCTAGTTGTCTCCTGCTGCCTGTGGCAAGTGGTAAAACATGACATACTGGGGTGACAAGCCAAAAATGATGTATCTGGTCAAAAGAAGTCAATACTGATTTGGAGATATGACTTAAAGGAGGGCTGAAGACTGGCATTAAGTGTTTCTATTAGTAGCTCTTTCATTAGTCACAAAGTGCTCTTGTTCATATGTTATAGTAAATCATGAGTCATTCTACATAGAAAGATATATGAACTTTGATTGTTGCCACATATTCTAGCCTAACTTTGTCAAAAATAGTTTGATTATTTTTGTTAGTTGGTTTAACTGTAGCTGTAGGATGGGAAGTAATTATAGGTGTTCTTTTTTTTAAATAGTGAAATCTAAGAGTTTTTTCTGATTTCACATAGTCTTATTTAAATCTGAATTGTCTGCTTTTTTATACTTAAAACATGCCTATTATAGCCTGATAAGCTAGTGAGTACATAAACCAGTATGTTTTGCCTGTAACTTTTTTATTTTTTTAAAGGCTAGCTTTGAATGTAATCATTAGAATTCATGACCAGTGGCTTATTTTTCATGTTTATTTGCATGATTTTGAATTAGAATTTGATTGCAGCAATGTAAAAGTTAGAATGCTAGGGATCATATGTACAATTTTTAAATGCATTTTAAAGTAGCAGAAACCATTTTAAAATGACAGATGCATCTAATCTCTCTTCTGGTTTTTAGTTTTGATATCTAAGTGAGTTTAGATTTTAAAATTGTTAATGGGGAAAAAAACTTTATAAAAGTTTCTCTTAAGTTAGCGTGGAAAAAGTTTGAACTATTAATCTCACTCTAAGTTGCAATGAAAAGGCTAGAACACCAAAAAAAAAAATCCTTAAAGAAAACTCCTAAGTGTAATAGTTATCAAATTCTGTTTGGTGAAAAATAAGCCCTGGACACTATATGTAGAAGAATGTAAAGATATGTGTTAGATGGTGACATGAGCAGGTAATGAAGTGTATATTAGTAGTAGAGCTTAGCATGGGGTAGAGGTGAATATGAATTATCTTTATTTTAACAGGAAAAGATGTATTACTAAGTTGTCTGCAGGAGTTGACACAGTTTCCAAAGAGTATTTTTAAATGAACAAAATGAGCATGAATCAAACTTTCCGTATAAGCTATGAACTTTTGTGGGGCTTTTGTTTTTTTCCAATGAAAAAGAGTGTCACCAGTTAACACCTCTGTAATTAAGGGCCTGTGACCATTGTCAACGTGAGCCTTTATTTTCAAGGATGTATAACATGACTATAAAGACACTGTAAGTGTGAAACTTGGTTTTGAAAAAAAATCTCAGCTAGCAGGGACTTCTCCTGGGGAGAGATTTTGGGGGGGGGGTTTTGTTTTGTGTTTTTTTAAAGACATTGATTATTTTTCAAGTTAAGAGTGAATCAGCAAAACAAAAAAACCCCTGTATTTTTGTTATCATTTGGATTTTTCTATGCTTCAGAAATAGTACTGTTTTAGGATAACGTTTTTAGGGTAATGTAAAGAATGAAAACTGAACTAAGTCTCATTTTAAAAACTGAAGCAGCAGAGGCAGAGATTCAAAATTTGCCACTATAAATATACATTTACTACTTCATGTAAGGATATTAGTGTTTGAAATACACAAAATTGTTTGTGGTTTGTGATGGAATACAAGCAGGTTTTGAAATACCAATTTTCAAAACACATCCACAATGACAAATATATTCTGCTACACCAATAATTCAACGATTAATAGGCCACTTATATTGTGCAATGACACAGTAGCTCCTAAAGCAGTATATTGTGTCCAAGATAGGGCTTTTAGTAGCATTTTTACAGTTTCATTATGAATTCTTCTCTCTTCTTCCCTTCAGGAAAAAAAGACACTAAGTTGTTATAACTTGAATGGTCTGACATAAAACCACAACAGCAAGGAAATTCAGAGTTGATTCCATTTCAGTTGTCTTCCGCAGTTGTATCCAGGTACATAGCACATACAATGCACTGAGTGCAGACTCCTGACATGCTGTACCTTGCTACAACAGGGAGGAGTACAGAACAAATTTTCTTTCCTTGCTTTTGTGTGTTTGTCGCAGCTTTAATATTTGAATGTTTTCTTCTTGTTGTAGAAACACTAAATGACTTATACTGTTTTTGGGTAGCACTGCTTAGGGTAGATACTGACAAACTGAGAATCCTTGAACTGCTCTAACATTAATTCTCTTTTGTGATACTTATTTTAATTGATTTTAGTACATTTCCATTCTCTCATGTATTAGGAAACATACCATAGAGATGCTGTACTGTTGGCAATCAACATGAATTTGGATTTTTTTTGATTCTGCAAATGCATTGTTTGATGAAGTGGTTAAAATTGTTTGAAATGCGAAAGTGTTTTGGGTAGTATTTTATACTGATGTATATATTGAAATAGAAATCATTTTAATAATTGTAATAGCTTTTAGGTATAAATACACTACATGCAGGCAGATGGGGCTGTACAGGACTGCGCTGTTCAACACCCGGGCAGGGCTACTGCTGGGAAACAGGTTGCAGTGTCAGTAAACCATATGGATGAAATATTGTACCGTTCAGTGTTGGCGCTCACCAATGCAAAAGGAGAAGAGACGATTTCAACATGATTAACACTACGTAGCTTTCACACATCTGGTAAATTAGTACTAAAGTGACCTTTTCACTTACAAGCATGTTTTTTTTTATACAAATTAACAGGTGTGCCTGTGTAAAATAATTTGTTTTCTGTATCTTGGAAAAAATACTCTCCACATTTAGAATGTTGTATGTTAGAGAACTCTTAAATGCACCCTTGTCAAAAATTATATATATTAGTTACCAATGTTACTTTTAGATATGAGCATGACTGTAAGTTAGGTACTTAAGTACATTCTGTTACATTACTTTTCTTTATGTAATACTTTTTCAGTTGTTTTATTTGGTATAAATATATACTTTGTGCTTAAATATCTTTGTTTGTTTTTAACATTCAATAGTATGTGAAGATAGTGTTTTCCTTCCGTGAGGTGGATGCATTGAATTGTTGGAATTCCTGTTGTAGTATGTCTGTTCTCGTACCCCTTGTCACTGCTTTTGTAATCATAAACTCCAGTCCTGCAAACATTGTGTACAAGCTCACCTAAGAGACGAAGGAGTGCCACTGAAGTCGGTGAAGGCGTAACATTAACGTATACACCTCTGTGTGTTTGCAGTAATGAAGAGACAGTGACTCTGCTGAGCCTCGTACGGTTTGTGTAAAACAATACTCTTGATTGCATATGGCCCTACAGTGAGAGCTGGAAACAGAACATCTGTTATCTGCTGGAAGAAAGCATCCACTTTTTGCAGATTGCAATGTTCGGGGTCTTCCCAGTTGCAGATACTTTTTTTTTTTTTTTGCTAACTGAAGTTTATACAACAATTTGTGGCAGCCTATCAATAAAGACACACTATTTTCATTTCCAAGTTTTGACTTATGAATTGTGAAATATGTAATGATATACCTTGAAAGTGTCTGAAGATTTTAGTGTAAAAAGTCTTGACAGGATTCATTTATTTTGACCTTCTGTGAAACAAACTCTGAAAGGTGTTTTTTTAACGTAATGCAATTTGTGATGGCTGAGGTCATGCACTGTTTGCATTTTAGAGTTACTACTGTTGGGCACGGAAATGCCTCGACCCTGTGAAACTCGGTGCAGTTTTGTGTTTTCTGAGTTAAAGGTCCAGGGCTTGATGCTTCTATCGGTTTGTCTTTAGTTCAGAGCTAGATTTGGGCACTTGGGTCCTTCAACTTTGAACTGAACATCACACCTTGCACCTGGGAGTAGCAAGCCAGCACCAGGGCATGACAAGGCTCCGGTTTTACTTGCTGATATCACTCTCTCCCATTTATGAGGTGGTGACATACTGCAGTAGCTGAAGTATGAGTGACCTTCTGAGGCAGCCCTAAATAGACTGCGTTACAGCAAAGCAGGATATCTGGTCCAGGTATTCCAGGCTCTCTTGGCAATTCTTTCTGAAATATTTTCAACACTTAGTTAAAAATAAAAAGTATTGGTTTGGGTAAGCCAGAAATAGTATGCTTCCAAGGAATCTTGGAGTCTTCCCGATGCTAATGTGCAAGTTAGCAGCAAACAAAACATTTTTCACCTAGGATCATTAATAATTACTTGAGAACAGGCTATGATCTGTCTAGCACCTCCTGTTCTGGAGGTTCATCTGGAGATAAAGTGGGGCCATCGATTTGATTTACAGCATCAGCATCCATAGTTTTGTGTGTTCCTGTTGAAGTGTAAAGGTGTGCTTCTTGACCCTTGTCCTCGCCACTTACTATTGCTAACGATAGTTACCCACACCCTCTAAATTTAGATGTCATCAAAATAGGAAGACATCTGTACAGCATCAGAAATCTCGGCTGACGTGAAACGGTAAAACTAACACTAAGCGAAGAACCAAATTGTCTGTAGAATATAGGGGGGAGCTTTGTACCAACTGCTGTATCCAGTACTTCATGTCTCTCAAACAAAAAACCCATGGTTTTCTTGAAGGAAAAAGGATTGAGGAAGCGTGTTGAGTAAGAAACATCCATACCAATACACCTGACAAAGCTGCCTAATGGGCTGTGTGCAAAACTTATGATTTTTACTTTTCCTGACATACTCCTCTCTCTTCAGTGCCAAGGTTGTAACAGTGAATGCTTCAGATGTTAGGCTGTTACTGACTGGTATTACTTTCTCTATATGGGAATGAAGTTGGTCACTGATTATAGTATTCTCTATATTAAACTGGCTCATATTAGTACATGAGGCACAGTAATTTTATTAGATTTTCCTGTCTTTTTATTAGCAAGTGATTTAAAAAAATAAGGGAGGGGGGGAGTCAAGAACAGCCCAAGAGGCTTTTACTTCGATGTTATGCAGCAACAAAACAGAGGTCCGTAACAGTGGTATATCTAGCCTGAAATGCCCTTGCTCCTTGTCCCTTATGTTATTTCTGAGCTACTCTAGTGTTTTTTAAATTATTTATCATATTTACCATCTGTGAATTCTGTTTGTCTGACACTGGAAGGCTGGGACTGTAGTGCTGGGTGCTGTTTGCCCCCAGAGGAGAGCAGAGTTCCTCCTCTCCAGCATTCAGCTGCCGTCCTGTTTAAAGTCTGTCACATAACGCAGAAATTGCAGTCGGACTCCAGGCGTGCTACACAGCCACTCTTACACGATGGCGAGCACGATTTGTTGAACGATGGTGGATTCCTGGTCTGGTTTGACTTCCCAGACACTGGGAAAGTTCAGCTTTCCCCCAGTGTTACCCTGCTTTCCACGCTGGCTGTCGCAGCCGGGACAGGCGTCCTCCCCACGCTGGGGCCACTGGGCCTGATGGAGGACCCCGCGCCAGCACTTCCACCTGATGCTAACAGAGATTTTGTTTGTTTGTTTGTTTGTTTTGAAGCTGACAGTTTTATCCAGTCTTTCACTCCTAGTTTCATTGTTAGGCATGCAAATACAATTGTCTGGGCTCTCTTGACTGACGAGGGACCCTTTTCAGACTTCACCAAGCAATATAATCCTTTCATACCCA